GTTATGTTAGAAAGCAGCAAATGAATTTGAATACATGGTTTCCAAATCTCTTCACAATTAGGACTTTGTTCACCTTATGCCTGGGTCTGCTGTCAGCCAATGAAAAAAAATTTATTGTCATGATCAGTCAATAACTTCATTATTGTCGTATTATGTGACTACCAGGATGGTACCAGGCAAACTAGATAGCCTTTAGTCAAGTCTCCTTATACTCCTAATGTGAGACAGATGGCTCCAGAGTTTAATGTATTCTGAATGGATAAAAGCATTTTACCAAATTTGCAGATATTACGGCAATTCCTAGCTATTTTCAGAAAGATGATAACCAAAATCTAATCAGTCATTTAGTTAAGTATTGCTGAAAAAAAAGAGATTTTGTCAAAGCTTTTGATCTTGCACTCATCAGGATCATCAGCAAGAATATCAATGTATAAGGAACATAACATTTTTACTATATGAGAGCAGAGCATTGATTGGTTGGAAAGTGAACTCTGATTGGTAGAAGTATTGCCATTGACAATACATCATTCAAATGATGTTTAACAGTTGGCTGCTTGCCAATGCCTCAACCATTTAGAATCCACTTGCCAACGAATCTGTACTCTGCTCTCATTCAGTATAAATGTTTCCCTTTCACATTGGTATTCTTGTTGATTATTCTGATGAGTACAAGATGAAAAGCTTTGACAAGATGTGTCGGAAATCTAATTATGTAAAATTATACAATGATATGTTAAGAATGCTCTTAAGGAAACTGCAAAAGACAACATTCGTTCTACTTATCAGTTCTGAGTCTGGAGTAATTCTATAATTTCAGAAGGGACAAGGATTTAACAGTATTTGAAGTGTTATTTGTTATTGAGTAATATGTTTTAATAATTAGGATCTTTATCATTTGTCTGTTTCTTAGTTAATCACATTCAAAATGCCACAGATATGTTTTTGCTATATTTAGTTTCAAATTACTTTGGTGAATTTTACAGCAATATAACTGGAACATCAAACTGGTTAAGAGATCTCATGCTTTGATATTTGCTTACAATACTTAAAATAGCTATGATGGTAATGAAAATTGAAATGCCATCACATTTGATGCTTGGTAACTATTTCATGATATTATTTAACACAGTTTAAGTAAAACCCAGATGGTATTTAAGCTAGGTGTGATAATGTTGATGAAGAAGTAAAAAGCAATTTCTAATTTTTACATTTGAAGCACTTAAATGAGAAAAAAAAAGACCTGTTTCTTAACCATTCATATTATTAAGGTGATTTGTGATATTAACCAATGAAAAAATAACTTGGATTAACCAACTTGGAATACCCATCCATCAAGAGAGGAGGGGAAGTGGCATTTTTGGTTAAGTATAACATTATGGCTTTACTTAGGGAGGATATTCCTGGGGGAATAAAGAGTGAAGTTATATGCATGGAACTGAGAAATAAGAAAGGGATGATCACCTTATTAGGATTGTACTATAGGTCCCCAAACATTCAGCGGGAAATTGAGAAGCAAATATGTACGGAGATCTCAAATATCTATAAGAATAATGGGATTGTAATGGTAGTTCCAAACATAGACTGTGACTGTCATAGTGTTGTGTGGACAAGAAAATGTTCTTATTCAATATATGGATGCACCTACGAGAGAAGGAACAAAACTTGACCTTTCCTTGGGAAATAAGGGAGGGCAAACGATGGAGGTGTCAGTGGGGAGCTCTTTGGAGCTAGTGTACATTATTCTACACATTTTAAAATGTGATGTGGAAGTGCCGGTGTTGGACTGGGTGGACAAGGTCAGAAGTCATACGACACCAGGTTATAGTCCAACAGGTTTACTTGAAATCACAGACTTTCAAAGCACTGCTCCTTTGTCAGGTGAAATGACTACAACCTGATGTTGTGTGAGTTTTAAAATAATTATGGAAAAGCATAGGCCTGATCTAAAAGTTAACGTTTTAAATTGGAGTAAGGCCAATCTTGACAGTATTAGGCAGCAATTTTCAGAAGTTGATTGGAAGAGTCTATTCACAGGTAAAACCATGGTTGGAAAGTGGGAGGCCTTCAAAAATAAGATAATGAGAGTTCAGAGACAGTATGTTCCTGTTAATGCGAAGGGCAAGCCTGGTAGGTGTAGGGATGCTGGACAAGCACAGAAATTGAGGGTCTGATCAAGAGAAAGGAATAATACTTTTTGTATTGGCAGGTGGAATCGAGCGAATCCCCAGAGATGTATAAGAGCAATAGGAGTATACTTAAGAGTGAAATCAGGAGGGCAAAAAGGGGACATGAGCTAGCTTTGGCAAATAGGGGTAAGGATAATCCAAAGTGATTCTACAAATATATTAGGGGCAAGGGAGTAACTAGGGAGAGAATAGGGGCCCTTTAAGATCAACAAGGCCATCTATGTGTGGAGATGGTGAGATACTAAACTAGAACCTTGCGTCAGTATTTACTGTGGAGAAGGACATGGAAGCTAGACAACTTGGGGAAATAAACAGTGATATCTTGAAAAGTGCTTGTTCATATTACGAAAGTGGAGATTCTGAACATCTTAAAATGTATAAAGGTGGATAAATCCTCAGGACCTGATCAGGTGCATCCCAGAACTTTGTGGGAAACTAGGGAAAAATTGCTGGGCCCCTTGCTGAGATATTTGCATCATTGATAGCCACAGGTAAGGGCCGGAAGACTGGAGGTTGGCTAATGTGGTGCCATTATTTAAGAAATGCTGTAAGGAAAAGTCTGAGAATTATAGACTGCTAAGTCTGACATCAGTGGTGGATAAGTTGTTGGAGGGGATTCTGAGGGACAGGATTTACATGCATTTGGAAAGACAAGGACTGAATAGGGATAATCAACATGGCTTTGTGCATGGGAAATTGTGTCTCACTAACTTGATTGAGCTTTTTGAAGAAGTGACAAAGAAGATTGATGAGGGCAGAGCAGTAGTTGTCTATGTGGACTTCAGCAAAGCGTGGGTGAGGTTCCGCATGGTAGACTGGTTAGAAGGTTAGATCATATGGAATCCAGGGGGAGCTAGCCAATTAGGAGACAGAGTGTGGTGTTGGAGGTTTGTGTTTTTCGGAATGGAGGTCTGTGACCAACGGTGTGCTGCAAGGATCAGTGTTGGATCCACTGCCTTTTGTCATTTATATAAATGGTTCGGATGTGAATGTAGGAGGTATGGTTAGTAAGTTTGCAGATGACCCAAAATTGGTGGTGTAGTGGACAGTGAAGAAGATTATCTCAGAGTAGAATGGGACCTTGATCAGATAGGCCAGTGGGCTGAGGAGTGGCAGATGGAATTTAATTTAGATAAATGTGAGGTGTTGCGTTTTGGTAAGGCAAATCAGGGCAGCTTTTAAACAGTTAATGGCAGGTTCCTGGGAAGACCTAAGGGTACAGGTGCATAATTCCTTGAAAGTGGAACCGCTGGTGGACAGGGTGGTGAAGAAGACTTTTGGCACGCTTGCCTTCATTGGTCACTGCATTGAGTATGGGAGTTGGGATGTCATGTTGTAGCTGTACAAGCCACTGATGATGTCACTTTTAGAATGTTACGTTCAATTCTGGTCTCTTTGTTATAGGAAAGATGTTATTAAACTTGAAAGGGTTAAGAAACGATTTACAAGGATGTTGTTGGGATTGAAGGGTTTGAGCAATAGGGAGAGGCTGAATAGGCTGGGGCTTTTTTCCATGGAACATTGGACGTTGAGGGGTGATTTTGTAGAGATTTATAAAATCATGAGGGGCATGGCTAGGGTGAATAGCCAATGCCTTTTTCCCAAGGCAGAGGAGTCCAAAACTAGAAGGCATAAGTTTAAGGTGAGAGGGGACAGATTTAAAGAGGACCTGCGGGGCAACTTTTTCACACAGAGGGTGTTGCGTGTTTGGAACAAGCTACTAGAGGAGGTGGTGAAGGCAGGTACAATCATGAGATTTAAAAGGCTTCTGGATGGGTACATGAATAGGGTTTAGAGGGATATAGGCCAAATGGTAGTAAATGGGACTAGATCAGTTTAGGATATCTGGTTGGCATGGATGAGTTGGACCGAAGGGTCTGTTTCTGTGCTGTATAACTCTATGAAGCTATAGCTGAGTTAACTAACTATCTGCTGAGCTGCCTGAAGTTAGAATCTTCGTGGTTTAGCATGGGTTTGTTTGTGAGTATTCAGAAAATAAAACCTTAAGCAAATGCATGTTACATGTGAGCCAAGCATCAGATATACGAAAATATTTATTGCACTTTAGATTTATGGACCTTTAATAACTTGGTTTTTAAATTAAATATGTCGAGTCTTGCTCAAAAAAAATGACAGTTGACTTCCACACTTCTATGCCTGTCTTTCAGGCCGCTACTATACTAGACTCCTATAATGTAACTTGAATTGTATTTTTCTTCATTATGAAGATTCAATCGTATTTTCCCATTCTTTCATAGAATAGCCATGTTGGAGAACAAAGAAATAAGATGAACTAAATGAGTTTAGTGGAATGATCAGATGCTATTTTAAGCACAAAATGTACAGTTCCCACTGATTTGAAAGAGCTATGAGCTCAGTGTGCTTACAGTAGCTGTTATTTCAAGTAATAATATCTAGTTCAGACCAGAACTGCAGCCTTTGCCTGTTAGGCTTACATTAACAGACATCATTCTCTCTTTCCCCCCAACCCCATGAAATCTATAGTTTGAGTTCAAACTAAATTCATGCAACACAGAAACCAATGTAATGGCATGCATTTCAGGCTTGTTATCACTTAAGGTGCCTTAGATTACTGGCAGTGCGACATTGTAAATGTATTCTTATTGAAGCTTTCAGGTCATCATCAAAGAGGAACTTTAACATTGTGAGCTCAGAGCTGATATGAATCTACAGTGCTTTTGCATATGACAGTATCATTGTAGACCCCTGAGTCATACATGGAGGATGCTATTCATAAATAGGAAAACAGCCACTCAAAGCAGCAAACCTACAGAAATGCAGAGTATTAATTGGCTATTTGCCTGGAAGACCAGGATCTGACAGATGCCTATGAAGGCCCAGCAGTCCCATGGTGCTTAGTGAGGAGTCCGGTAAGGAGGGATGCCGCATTGGACACAGAAAGGATGGTGACTGTTGCTGTTGAGACCGTGAATTTTGTTCTTGTTCTTGGTCCAAAAATGTGGCAAAATTATCTTCCGATATTGTGTTGAGATGAACCCCACTGGACAAAGACTCTTTGGATTTCAGTTTGGATTTTTCAAAGTCTGAAAATTCTGGACTCTGAAAGAGATAAAGAAAAACATAAAGTCTGAAATAGAAACATCACCATAAATTATATCACAAATCTTATACTTGCAGTGGATACAGAACATTTATTACTATTGATTAGTTATATGAAGATACATCTTCCATTGCAGAACTTACAAAGTTGAGACCATTGATGTGATTGAGCATTACTGCAGCTAACATTTTTGTCAATGAAGTTCCTGCATTCAAATATAATGCTGGAATCTAGGATGGAACTGAATTATGCCAGGTTTCAGATGGATTTCACCAGGGTAAGATAGATTATGGTGGGATATTCCAGCTACACCATTCTTCCATAATAAAGTCAGCTTCAGGTCATCAGAAAAATTTTGCACTTACGTTAGCTGAAGGCTTGTGTTGTATAAGGTAATAGGTCTGAAAGGGTTAATGTTAGAGACTTTATTTGGTTCCACCCAATCTAATGACTCCACACTGTCTTGTGTGGGAAAACAGGGGTCTAGTTTGAGATCTCAATACGGTCAGATATGTTATTGGTGGTTCCTGATAGATTTAGTAATTATGTGTTACTAATGAATGCAACTTGTATGTTTTGCTGTTGTACAATAAACTACATTTTGTTTTACGGCAAGTACTTCTTCTTGCTAAGAATCACTAGTGGTCCATCCTCTATCACTTTTAACCAAATAGGCCCTTACATGCAGAATAGAAAGGAGGATTGGAGACAGAACACTAGCTCAACAATTAGTAGGTAGTGGTTTGTTCTGTAACACATACTACATGGTGATCACTAGTGGAAGCATTATTTAAATGCATAAAGGCAAAATAATGAAAAGAAAATCAATTCAATCCAGGCAAAAAATAAATGAGTTGACCACTTTAATGTTATAAACACCGTCAACACATTAAAACTCTAGGTCAGTCAGCAGCTACAAACACTTGAAAAGATAGGCATTCAACAGAACTTGTTTGCGAAGGCTAAAATATAGATAAGGGAGGATTGAGGCTTGCGCTTCACTATAGAACTTGGTTTGCTGAGGAAGGGATGCAGTTTACTGCAGTTTCAGTTTTTGAAGTATGTCCTAGGAGGTATAAGGCATTGTTAGTGTGAAAGAGTGAGGTAGAATACCAGATATGTGAAGACATGTATGTGAGTAAATGGAATGGGGAATGGGTCTTCCACCCAAAGGACATTAAGGTGTAATATAATTCTTGTTATTAGTGATAACTGGTGCTCAAATACTGTAATCTGTTATCTCTCACTTACGCTTAATGAAAAGTGTAACTTAAGTGTAACCTAAGTGTCACTGATATAGGGTCAGCTTTGACCTACTGAACATGCAGTCAAGAACAAAGAAGAACAAAGAACAAAGAAAATTACAGCACAGGAACAGGCCCTTCGGCCCTCCAAGCCTGCGCCGATCCAGATCATCTATCTAAACCTGTCGCCTATTTTCCAAGGATCTGTATCCCTCTGCTCCCTGCCCATTCATGTATCTGTCTAGATGATGCTATTGTGCCCGCCTCTACCACCTCTGCTGGCAACGTGTTCCAGGCACCCACCACCCTCTGTGTAAAGAACTTTCCACGCATATCTCCCTTAAACTTTTCCCCTCTCACCTTGAAATCGTGACCCCTAGTAATTGAGTCCCCCACTCTGGGAAAAAGCTTCTTGCTATCCACCCTGTCTATACCTCTCACGATTTTGTAGACCTCAATCAGGTGCCCCCTCAACCTCCGTCTTTCTAATGTAAATAATCCTAATCTACTCAACCTCTCTTCATAGCTAGCGCCCTCCAAACCAGGCAACATCCTGGTGAACCTCCTCTGCACCCTCTCCAAAGCATCCACATCCTTTCGGTAATGTGGTGACCAGAACTGTATGCAGTATTCCAAATGTGGTTGAACCAAAGTCCTATACAACTGCAACATGACCTGCCAACTCTTGTACTCAATACCCCGTCCGATGAATGAAAGCATGCCGTATGCCTTCTTCACCACTCTATCGACCTGCGTTGCCACCTTCAGGGTGAAATGGACCTGAACACCCAGATCTCTCTGTGCATCAATTTTCCCCTGGGCTTTTCCATTGACCACATAGTTCGCTCTTGAACTGGATCTTCCAAAATGCATCACCTTGCATTTGTCTGGATTGAACTCCACCTGCCATTTCTCCGCCCAACTCTCCAATCTATCTATATTCTGCTGCATTCTCCGACAGTCCCCTTCAATATCTGCTACTCCACCAATCTTAGTGTCATCTGCAAACTTGCTAATCAGACCATCTATACCTTCCTCCAGATCATTTACGTATATCACAAACAACAGTGGTCCCAACACGGATCCCTGTGGAACACCACTGGTCACAGTTCTCCATTTTGAGAAACTCCCTTCCACTACAACTCTCTGTCTCCTGTTGCCCAGCCAGTTCTCTATCCATCTAGCTAGTACACCCTGGACCCCATGCGACTTCACTTTCTCCATCAGCCTACCATGGGGAACCTTATCAAATGCCTTACTGAACTCCATTTATATGACATCCACAGCCCTTCCCTCATCTATCAACTTTGTCACTTCCTCAAAGAATTCTATCAAGTTGGTAAGACATGACCTTCCCTGCACAAAACCATGCTGCCTATCACTAATAAGCCCATTTTCTTCCAAATGTAAATAGATCCTATCCCTCAGTATCTTCTCCAGCAGATTCCCCACCACTGACGTCAGGCTCACCGATCTATAATTACCTGGATTATCCTTGCTACCCTTCTTAAACAAGGGGACAACATTAACAATTCTACCGTCCTCCGTGACCTCACCTGTGTTCAAGGATGCTGCAAACATATCTGTTAAGGCCACAGCTATTTCCTCTCTCGTTTCCCTCAGTAACGTGGGATAGATCCCATCCGGACCTGGGGACTTGTCCACCCTAATGCCTTTTAGAATACCCAACACTTCCCCCCCTCCTTATACTGACTTGACCTAGAGTAATCAAACATCTATCCCTAACCTCAACATCCGTCATGTCCCTCTCCTCGGTGAATACCGACGCAAAGTACTCATTAAGAATCTCACTCATTTTCTCTGACTCCTTGCATAACTTCCCTCCTTTGTCCTTGAGTGGGCCAACCCTTTCTCGAGTTACCCTCTTGCTCCTTATGTATGAATAAAAGGCTTTGGGATTTTCCTTAACCCTGTTTGCTAAAGATATTTCATGACCCCTTTTAGTCCTCTTAATTCCTCATTTCAGATTGGTCCTACCTTCCCGATATTCTTCCAAAGCTTCATCTGTTTTCAGTCGCCTAGACCTTATGTAAAAGATTTATCCAAAAGATTTTAAATATATTTCATTAAACCTCCAGTTAATGTCCTTACCCCTTCACTCCTACACCATCTGCATCAATCTCACCATCATGGAAAATTCTCCTCAACCCTATCAGGTGTAATACTTTCATTTAAAGATTAAAAGAGAAGAATCATGGCATGAGCTCAATAGATCAGAATTTAAAAAGAAATTGTTTCCTACCTTTTCATTTTCTAGCATTTCTAGTAGTAGGCGCATACATAAATTGCCAACTTCCACCCTCCAACCCCCAGTTACTTGAGATACGGGCACTGCTCTAGGTCAGGCCTTTAGGAAGTTTAAATCATAATATCCAATATGGATATTTACCTGCGGTGTTGTTGGGAAGCTGTGTTCTGACCTTACAGATGCTACTGGTTGGACAGTCTGTGCCATCCTTGCAGATGATCTTTGATAATCCCTTGTGGCTGTTACCATACTATATGCAGGTGGTCCTGATATGGACTGCCGTTGCAGTAACTGCAAGATGGTATGAATATCAGTAGACATTTGTGTTTCCAGCCTAAAAAAAAGGCACCACACATTTAATTTTTGTATCTTTCTTACATTCTGTACACATATTTAGAACAAACTACTTTTTGTCAGCATTATGTAAAAATGTAGATTTTAATGATACTAAAGACCTAAGTTGTTACTCATTTAAAAATATTCCATGAAATAAAGATATATTGAATACAATCATTGAGAAATGCTCAACCACGTATCATTAAAAAAAAGTTTTCTCTCAAAGTAATGCTATGCAAATAAATTTATTCTTCTTAATCTTCTCTCTGCAACTTCTTGTGTTAGGAAGCAGCATGTATGTAGAACAATACCTCAGTCTCCTGGCCTCCAAGCTGCTGCTTTGGTTACCTGTTAATTGGAGATACTTTGAAATATGATATAAAATTAGGCCTTCCAGCTCAGTCTTTTCTGATCATACCTACAAGTCTATTTCCCCATCACTTTAACTGTTTTTCATTCATCCAAATGTCCAAATTAAACGTTATTGTTAATTTAGTTTCTGAACCAACCACTAACGCTGAAGCGTTCTGTGGCCTCACATCTCTGCCTCAAGATATTTTTCCTTTCCTCTGTTCTTTATCTCATACATTTAATGCTGTATCTTTGTACACTGGTCCTTCACTTCCCAACTACTGAAACAGTCTGCTTCTATCTAGCTTGTCCCATCATTACATAACTTAAAACATTTCTGGTATTTCAACCTAAGGTGGGTGTTTGTGTTACTTAAGTGACTTCCTGTTACATCTGTGTTTGAAGACTCAGCATCTCAAAACTGCAAACAGTAATTTAACTGAGGCCTTAATAAACTTTATTTTAATCGATTAAGAACTATCTTTTGGCTTTCTTTATATTATGCCTCTGGAAATGAAAGCTAGAATTTTATTAAATTTTCTTTATAAGACTTAAGAAGCTGAGATATCTTGTGTTACATTGCATAAATTTATTCCTATAAAACACTGCTTTACTTAACATTGAGCCTACTTTCACTTGCAATATAATTACTGCTTTTCTCTACACTCATAGTGATAGTGAATTTAACTGCCTCTTTTTCTCCCTTTGACCTTCTACAGAATTAACTATATCTTCTGTCTTAATGCTATCTGTAAATAGAGACACAATTCCCTCTTGGCTTATATCCAAATCGTTGGTACATACAGTGAAGAGTGGTAGCTTCAGCAATGAGTCCCAAGGAATGCCATTACATAAGTCAACTATACTGAAAAACTGCTGTGAACTTTTCCTCAATGTTTCTTCCTTGCAATCAATTTTCAAACCAATTTTCTGTTCTTCCACTTAATGGACTGTTATGATCTGGTTAATGTTGGAAATTAAATCTGAATATTCAGTTTTAACCAATAAAATTATGCCTAACATTTCACCATTTTTTTAAAAAAGCAACCTTTATTAGATATGAAAGAATTTTAAAAAAGCATGATTAACTTAACAATATGGTTTATATCATCAACTCAGAGTTGATAAGGTGAATTCTGAGCTACAGACACCTTGATGCATCAGGAAAGGGGATAGTTACCTGGATACAATTTCAGGATAGAGTCATAGAGCCCCTACAGTGTGGAAACAGGCCATTCAGCCCAACAAGTCCACACTGACCCTCCAAAGTGCATCCCACCTAGACGCATTCCCCTAACCCTGCATTTCCCATGCCTAACCTAAACATCCCTTGACACTATGGGGAATTTAGCATGGCCAATCCATCTACCCTGCACATCTTTTGACTGACGGAGGAAATTGGAGCACCCGGAGGAAACCCATGCAGACACGGGGAGAATGTGCAAACTCCACACAGACAGTCGCCGAGGCTGGGATCTAACCTGGGTCCCTGGTGCTGTGTGGCAGCAGTGCTAACCACTGAGCTGCCGAGTCACACCCCTTAGATTAATTACATTAAATTTGCTCTGTAGTTAGGAACTGGAGGCTGTGACTGCGATTGAGGGAGTTATCATGGTCCAGTATTTAGCTTTGGATGAGCCTCAGGCAGACCCCTTATCCAACAGGCATGAGATTCTTGCTCAGGCACAGACTGCACAGTGGATGAATGACTGAAAGCAATGTGCTGCAGAGGATCATTCAAGTGGGTGGAGAAGAGCAAAATGTAGTAGTAATGAAGGATAGCATAGTTAGGGTAATAGAACCGTTCTCTTCAGCAAAGACAGATTCCATGAGGCTTTGTTGCCGAGGTGGTGCCAAGATTCAGGACATCTCTTCTGGGCTGGATGGGAATTTGAACTCGGAGGGAAGGATCCAGTTGTCATGGTCCATGTAGGTACCAATAACATGCGTAGGTTTAGAAAAGAAGTTCCGATGAGGGATTACAAGCAGCTCAGGGCTAATCAAAAAGCAGAAACATAATATTAATAATCTCAAAATTACTACCTCAGTTCTGTGCAAACTGACATGGAGTACATAAAATTAGAAAGCCAAATGTATGGCTCAAATAGTGGTGTGGACGAAATGAGTTCAAACTCATGGCGCACTGCCACCAGTACTGGGGAAAGAATGTGCTGTTTTATTGGGATACGCTTTATTTGAAACATGCTGGAACCAGTATCTGAGCAAAGCTTGTATCTATGGTTGTCGACAGGGCTTAATAATAATTAGTTGGGTGGGGGTGCATAGTTCTTTTGGAGGGAATTTGAAGAACCAAAAACAAATGAAAGAGCACAGGGTAGTAAAGAGGCAAAAGCTATTCCAAGTAGGACAGGAAAAGGCAGAAAGTATAAGCAGCAGATTGCAGCAGAAAACAGAATCAGAACAAACATCAATTGTAAAAAAGTCAAAGCTTTAGACTCTTTATCTGAATGTATGCAATATTTTTAACAAGATAGATGAGTTGACAGGACAAACAGAAATAAACAAATTTGACTTGATAGCTATTACAGAGAAAAAAGAAAACCCAAAGAACTGTGGATGTTGGAAATCAGAAGCCAAAACAGAAATTGGTGGAAAAACTCAGCAGGTCTGGCAGCATCTGTGGAGGGAATGCAAAATTAACATATCAGGTCCTGTGACCCTTCTTCAGAACTTGTTCATATCTTTAGAATTTCTTAATCAACATATTGACTGGAGAAAGGAGATGGGCGAAGGTAATATGAAAGACAAATTTGTAAAGTGCATCAAGGATTTTTTTTAGAGCTGTACATTATAGAACCAACCCAGGAACAGGCTATTTTAGATCTAGTAATGTGTAATGAGGTAGGAGTAATAACAGATCTTGTAGTTAAGGATCCTCTAGGGGGTAATTATCACTACATGGTTGAGGGAAACCAACTTGTGTCTCAAACCAGTGCCCTCAACTTAAATAAGGGCAATTACAGAGGTATGAAGAGTTGTCTAAAGTGGGCTGGGAAACTAGGCTAAAGGGGAAGTTGGTGGAAGAACAGTGGCAGACACTTAAACAGATATTTCGTGCCACTCAGAAAAACTTTACTTTAGTCAAAGAGAAGGACTTGATGAGAAGGATGAACCACTGGTTAACAAGGAGAACATCCAATCAAAACTCAAGAAAGCAAAGAAAACCAGGCATAGGCCAGAGGATGGGAACTTTTTTTAGTAACCAGCTGAGGAATGATTTAAAAAGCTACAAAAAAAAGAAAATTGATTATGAAAGTAAATTGGCAAGAAATATAAAAAGCAAACAGGAAGCGCTTCTATGGGTATACAAAAAGAGAGTAGCTAAAGAAAGTGTGAGACACTTGGAGAATCTGACTAGGAAATCAATAATGGTGAACAAAAAACTGCAGATAATTTGAACCAATATTTTGCATTGGTCTTCATGGTACTGTAAATATCCCAGATAACAGGCTGTTTGGAATCTGATTTTTCTTGTTCCAGAAGATGCAGAGGCTGAAAGGATTTTTTGCAGTGATGGAGAGTTTCTCTTCCAGAAGATGCTGGACACCAGGATTGAGGATATAGTACTGGCTTCACTGTGGACTGTAATGGAGGTTGAGTTACTAAAACATTCTGTCCTTAATTGCTTTCGAATAATAAATTGTCTGTGAAGATGAAATTTTACTGTACATGACACCTGGAGGCTACAGCCAAATGCTGGAAATAAGAATAGATTGTATCGTGATTGGAACCATGGCCAGGTAGATCTTGCTGTCTATGAGATTCTGTACTAAGGTTGTTATCTTGGGCAAAACAGGGAGCCAATATAAACAGGAGATTCAGAAGGTCTCCTCAGTCTAGGGATTGGCTTTGAACATGCTGGTCACAGCCCATGTACAGTGCACTTAAAACAAAGGGTGGATTGGTGATGGAATACTGGTCTCTGTGTTGGTTGGTTGGTTTGTTTGTTTTTAAGCCATGCAGATGCGATGGCCAAGTAGCATCTTTCTGTGCAGTAAACTCACCATGTTTCGATGTTAATGACTTGGATGAGGATACAGAAGGTAAGGTATCCACATTTTCCATTGATATGAAAATAGATTGGAGGGCACAACGTGGTTTGGACATAAGGAATCCATAAGGGAATGTAGATTGGTTGAGTAAGTGGGTAAAAACTTGGCTGTTGGAATTTAAGGCAGGACTAAATAAAATATTAGTTCTTTGCTAATATTTTAGACATTGTGTCTCTATCCATTTATCCAACTAAGTAACCCAAATGATGTTTTATAGCTCACACTTTCCTAGTTGTTAACCTCCTACATCTCAGCCTTTTAAGGTCAATATGCTCTGGTTGCTTTAATTTATTTATCTTATTTTCCACAGCTAAACGTTGTTTAGTAAAATAAATTAACATTGAATAAATTATTTGTAATAATCACCCTTAACTTTATATAATAACCTGCTATGTGGTGCTCTTTAATTCAGTCAACAATAATTGTCTTCAAACGTTCCAAACTCAGGCACTTACTGGGCCTTTGCTCAGCACCAGCTAATACTACATGGGGTTTTTGATCTTTTGGGATTGGATTGGTAGTGTTTGTTGACCAGCCATGCAGATTTGGAACAAATGTGCGCCTTCATATACAA